CGTGTATATGCAAGAATAATATCTTTGTGAGTAGTTTCATTGGTCTCATAAGACAATGATATAGCTGCTACACAATGAACTATTCACATTTGTGGTTGGACAACTCTGACCATTCGACCTTTACTTGTCTGTATGCCACAAAGAAACGTCAGTACATCTTCATCATTGCCCAGGTCTTCACTTTCATGAGAATCTGTGTCATATTCTTGTACTTGTTCAGAGTCATCGTAAGCATCATCCTGTTGATCATGCAGCTGAATGTCAGAAGCTGTAACTTCTACATCATCTGGTGAAGGTTCAGTTGGAAAATTTCTCTCTCTGCTGGTGTATATAAGGAAAGGTACATATTGAGAGGAAGTGTCCTGGCCTTAAACTTTGGTGTCTCCTGACGCATGCTACACTGATGGATGGCCCTTCCATTGTCACAAGCCCATTCTATCATCTGGTCTTTCTGTCTGGAATTGAGCTGTCTCATTGGCTTAATTAAGGTGGCTCATTCGTGGAATGGCATGAGGAGGCATTGCTTGTTTTACAACAGGATAATGTGATGAGTTATGTGTGAAATAGTCAGCAGCCCAAGGAACAACTCTCTTTTTGCTTTCATTAACAGTGCTCGCCAAGTTGCGTGCATACTGCAAGGTGGTTTGCAGCTGGTCCTTAAAGTGGCTCATTGCATGGAGGTTCTCTACTTGCACCATCAGGCACATGTGAAGATCAACTGTGAAGCTGGATTGAGATTGTCAATGAACTTGTGAAGATCTTTAAGGCCACTCAGAATTATGCTGACAGATGAAAAATGAATGAGTGAGTTAATGAATGAATGAATGGATGAATGGACGAATGGATGAATGGACGAATGAACGAATGAATGAATGAGCTAATGAATGAACTAATGAATGAATGAAAACTTTATTAATGTGTTTGGAGGGAAATCGTTCCATGTTGACCAGCAGGCTTGCATGATTTGTCAAGTTGGTTGAGTACATGTTTATTTGCTTCTCTCATGAAAAAAAAGCTAATTATAGACCATGTTCACAAATCTCAAGAAATAAATTAGTTATTTCACGAATCACGCGACTACTCTCGTCCATGGATCATGGGAAATCAATTCTTTCGTTCATGAATCACAGTAATTAAAATTAAGCATTAACGGTTCATGGAAAACCCCTTTTCCAACCGTCTATCAAGCCAACTGGGAGCTGGTCACATTGTGAATTCATAACATACCTGTAGGTGGTGAAAAGTGAATATATGAAAGATCATATATTTGAACTGCGGAGAAAGATTTGCAGACTTGATTGATCACTGCAGTTATACACACAACTTAAGCAGTTGAGTAATTTAAACCTAAATTTATTCACAGCCGTGGGTATATTACAAACTCAATGTGACTCCAGTTGGCTTGATAGCTCATTTGGTAGAACACTACATTGGTATCTCAGAGGTCATGGGTTTAAATCCCATTCAAGTCTGAATTTTTTTAGGCTTTAATTTCACAACTGCTTAAGTTGTGTGTGATGATGTCTTCATGTAAGTTTAGTCTTGGAACTATCCCACATGAAATTTTGGAGCAAGTGAGATGGATTAAGGCCATTTTTAATGCAGAGTGCACTATTGGGATGGTTTAGGGGCCTGTTGTTTGCTAAGTCACTAACGCCATAAGCTGTAAACTTTAATGTTTGTTTAATTAATTGATTTCAATTAATCAATTAGCCTCGCGGGAAGGGGGTTGGGTGCGGTAGGTACCCGAGTGCATTACACAAAACATGTCATACTTATGTTGCTTTCTTTGATCACAGGATAAAAATATATGTATGGTTTTGCAAATCTCATGCTATCCTTGTGGTGCCATTCTCTCAAGAACAAAAGCAATTTGCTCTAAATGCATGCGCAGATTAGTTAGCATCAAAGTCGGCTATATGTTAAGTGAAAGATACATAACATGTAAGACGCATGCATTCTAGCATTGCTAGTGTGATAAACTCCGTTCTCAATAGCGTTGTGTATTAGTTTGATGTGGTTTTATTGTTCACACCAACTCGGTTAGCAACAGAATTAGAACGCACTATTCCGTGATTCGACGTGACTATTTGATAATTAGATTAGTTCTTGTTTATCGGTGAAATCAAAATTTACATTTTGAATAAAACAAAATCGTTCCTCTTCTACTTTTCAGCAGATATTTAACTTTTATATTCCATTTATCTCCAGCAGTAAGTTAAAATAATAATAATAATAATAATAATAATAATAATAATAATAATATATAATAATAATAAAAACAATCTTTAAAGAGGAAGCGCCCGTCACGTAAATACGTGAATACACATATTTCTTATATTTTGGTGGAAATAAAGGTATCTTGTTGCATACATTGGCAAGGAAAACAAAAGTATCAACATACAAACATTGGCATGAAAAGTAATGCTACAAAAGGAACGAAACTCAAGATAAAATACCACAATAAATTTAAAACTGTCTTGACAAATGGTAATTGTAAGTTATTTTTGGGCAAACCTGAACACGAAACATACACATTACTAAGATTATGTCTTATCAAGTTTTTGAATGCTCATATTTTCTGCAAAGGGGAAAAGGCGTTGTTGACTACCTTGGGAAAGAACAGCAGGGGTGAGGACCTGCGTGACTACTGCATCAGAGCCGTAAAAATTACACTCTGCACTATCTGAGATTGTTTCACTAGTTTTAAATGCTGTAGAACAGTCAAGAAACACTGTGATAGACAACATACATGTATGATGTGAAATATATGCTGTGCCTATGACATGAGAAAAAATTGCTGCTTGTTTGAAAGGCTTTTCAAAATAAAGAAGAATGGCATTTTCCTTTTTGGAATATCTTTTTTCATTTTAGAGATATTGACATTTTTGTATTATGCAAATTGGGAAAGTGATGACATCATGAGGTTTGCAACTAAAGCAGTGTTCTTCAAACTTGGCACCAGCAATGTTCATCACAAAAGAAACAAAATGACACCCATTGGGCTGTTACCATAACAACAGTTTTGCCGCTGGTTCTGTCTTAATTAAAACTGAAATTCCCAGTTTTTGTGTTAACCAAGAACCATCTACTCCAGCCAATCTAATGATGAGAGTTAAGACAATATGGGAAACATGTCTATTCCAAGCGGGACCCTCTGTCCCACTTTTAAGGGTTGAAAATGAGGGTATTTGATTTTTTACAGAAAGAAACTGGAACCAAGAGAGTTTCCTTGCAACGGCACTGTGGGTGTCATTTTGTTTCTTTTGTAACTAAGGAAAATGTGTGGTTGGATTGTCTGCATATGTCACAATCCTATGAGAATTGATTGGTTTGTTTTTAAGTAATTAAGCATTTCACTGTCTTGAATGAAATTAAATCATGATGGCTTTTAGTCTTAACTGAATGCCATTTTAGAGGAGCAAACCATTTTAAGTGATTGTGCAGTTCCGAAAATATCCATACTCCCTGCACAGAAGGGACTGAAATTTTCAGGGGGGTAGGGGTTCTGTAAGACCAAAAAATTTATAGAAATGTGGGAAACTTAATTGAAATTTCCAGAGGGATGGGTGCCTTTGAAAAAATCCCTTCGTAGGGGAGATGTGGATATTTTCTGGAACTGCATGTACACTTTGATAGAATATAAACCATTGAGAAACATAACAGAATGCAATTAACCATTTTGCTTCAATTAAAAGAGATGAATACTCACTTTTGCAATTTGTTGGTGAGCCATAATTTGTAATGAATCAACAAATTCAGTTGATGAGAAAGAGCTAGACTCATAACAGGTGTATAATTAGTTAATCTAGCATTTTGGATTCCAGACTGGTGAGATGCTTTTAATTACGAAAACTTAAAATGAGATATTAAGACATTGTATCAGGAAATTTAGCTGCCTAACTTATTTCTAGTACAGTAATCTCCTAAGAAGAGAGTCAGTGTGCTGATCAGTGCTTGGTTGCTTGTTATCAGGTGATGAAGATGGTAGTGGAGGAGATCAGGATTCAGATAACCCTCTTATGATGTTATTTTCTGAGATCCATCACTTTACTGATCCTACAGGTCGAGCTCTTTCAGAACCGTTCCTTCGGTTACCATCCAGAAGGTTTGTTAAATTGTCATATGTTGTTTGTCATTGGCCAAATTTATACTAGAGATGAGTTATTCATCCAGACGGATTATCCATCAGACAGATAATCCATCTAGGTATAAATCCGAAGACAAATTTTGATGGATATGGGTTTTAGACTGTGTGGAAGCCTGGCTATCAAAAGCAATATGGCGGCACTTGTAGCAATGTTGATGAAAAAAGTAAGGCATGGTAGTACAGCTGTATCTCAGAGAAAAATATCTTCTGTCAAGTGTATGCCTGAGTTGGAAAATAACTTAATGAACTTCGTATTACCTTTTTCTCTTGCCAATCTCACCCAAGATAAGAAAACAATAAGTAGAGAATACACGAGAAGCAAGAAATTAAAAAAACAAGCCGTAGTTGGAGTGCAAGAAAAGACTTTGAGTCAGTCAGAACACCTTTCATTCCATTCTTGGAATAATCAAAGTTGCTATAAGCCACTCAACTTGAAAAATGGATCGTCTGTAAACAGTGACAATTTTATTGCCACTGACTTGAGGTTTTAATCTGTAGGTTAAGTTAAAGTGAAAGCCCACTGGCATTGTTAAGAAATAGTGCAAAATGCAACAGTAAGAGAATACAGGAGGAGATGTAACACTGTTGAACACACTCATGAAGTTTTCAGTCCAAGAGACCGAGACAATTATAAAGAAAGTAACGCTTCTTGTCTGATCACCAAAGCAAGTAATAATTCTCATTTTCATTCCTCTCATTTTTTTTCCTTCTTTATTTTTCCAGTCAGTATCAGTGATTTTTTCTCTCTCTCATTAGTACCGAGCAGGTATAAAGCAAATTTCAGACCTTTTTGACGAGCATGAAAATTGCTTCCTGCCTTTCCTTTCCTTGCACAATAAATACACGCTAAATTGCAACTTTTTACAATATTATAGTCTTTTATCTGCGATCCCTCAAAGTTGGAAGAAGCTCCTTTATGTTAACTCTGGCGACTCCACTACACCCCTGCCGCCAATCTGTACTATAACTTGCAAGATGTTACACAACAAACTGTTAACCTTAGAAAATCTTCCTCCTCCCACTTCAGAAAAAAAATCTTATCATACAGCACTTCAAAGGAGAATCTAAATAAAATTTATCTTCTGCCGTTCACAGCCACAAAAGAAGTTAAATTGGCAATGTTCCAGTACAAAATCATACACAACATTTTAGCCACGAACAGTATATTATACAAAATGAACAAGGTTGCCTCCCCATCCTGCCCTTTCTGTCCCTCTGATAGTCAAAACATACATCATTTGTTTATTAGCTGCCCGCAAGCATCTTCCTTTTGGTATGAGTTCCAAAGTTGGTACTCTACCATAAGTAACGTGACTTTACTTCTCGCTGATCCAGAGGTATTAATTGGAATTACTCGTCCCTGTACTCACTATTTGACCATCAACCACCTCATAATGCTAGGCAAATACTTTCTTTATATCAATGCTCTAAATAATACTAGGTTCACTTTCAGCGACTTCTTCTCATTAGTGCAGGATAAAATTGAGATAGAAAAATTTATTGCTGCCACGTTGAATGGTGAAAGGGAATTTCAACGGAAGTGGAAATTCCTTCTCACCATTTAAGGCGTTTCCCTTAGTACTTTGTTGCAAGGTCTTTTTTTTTTAGCTTGTTTTGTTGGTTTTTTTTTTTTTTCTATAATTAAGTAATTACATTGTATTCCAACTCCTTAAGTAACGTAATGTGTAAGTCATAATAAGTTATTATTGCATATTGTAAGTAAGTAAGGTAATGCCAAGTATTGTAAATGGTTGTTTTTTTTATGTATTATAAGTGACGTTTCTAAGACAATAGAAGCGTTAGAAATAATAATAAGGAGTGATGGAGTGATGGAATGAAATTGCTTCACCACTACAACTTGGAAAATAGCATTTTCCAGGTTAAAAATGAACATTTAATAACAAAGGAAACAACAGGGTTTGTACAGGTCATGGAAAACCTGGAATGTCATGGAATTTAAGGAAGGGTCATGGAAAAGCAATATGCTTTCTGAGAATAAAAGGGGAAAAAGACATAAAATTGAAAAAAATTAGAGACCAGTCAGAAACAGGCTTCAATTTCAGTACAAATAGACACAAGCATGCATTTTATCCATTATGATGCTGGAAAATACATTAAATAAATGATTGTTTTGATTCTACTGTGAGAACAGGTGCTTAACTTTGGTCATGGAAAACTCAGAAAGGTTATGGAAAAGGTCATCAAAAGTCATGGAATTTTCAAAGCTTAAAGAGTATGAACCCTGAACAAGGTTCAAGAAACCTAGCCCTACATTAAAAAACATCTTTGTTCTACTTCTACATGTAGATATAAGTTTAGAGACTAATTATTCGTCTCTATTTGCATGTAACATGGGAAATGTCATGATTTTTGATAGAGAATCTTTTGTGGCACCAAAAGCAGTTTACTTAATTTTCATTTTAATAAAAGGGAGTTGGTAATTATAATTAACTTGTATGGCCCAGTTTTACGCTTCCTCAAGTGTTATGTTATATTCGATGTGGAGGTGAAACAATTTCTTCACCAAGTGAGTATGTAGTTTAAATTTTTTTGACAATGTTAACCCACAGTACATGGATTTTAGTACTTGGTCATGTTAATTTGGTGATCAGATAGAAGCAGCACTTTCTTTGTGGTAACGGACCAGGATGACTCAGCGAATGTTTTAAAAAGTGTTACATTTACCTATGTATTCTCTTGCTCCTTACAGGTATATGTATTCCCTTCTCCACTTGTTTTGATCTAACTAAATGACTATATGACTCTGAAATTGAGCCAAAATGTAACAATCTTTTTGCATTGTAATAAAAGAAAATTTGGTTTTCGGTAATGTTAACAATCCCCGGACTTGTCTTGTGTGTGTTACTAGCTCAATATAAAAATGATATATGACCTAAGGATTAAAAACTCTTTTCAGTAGCATCAAAATTGCCCCTGTTTACAGATGATCCTTTTTAAAGTTTCCGGAAAACGATAAAACATGGACAAAGTCAAGTGGCTCATAGCCACTTTGATCTTTCTTTATTGATCATCTTTTTGAAGATGGATTCCTTATCGTTAATTTGTGTTTTATCTTGGTGTTTTGAAAAAAAAGTCTAAAATCAACCAAAAGTAGGATTTGTGAGTTGATGAGAATTTTCTCCCATTCTTTGTTTGCTGTTTACTGCAGAGCTTATCCTGATTATTATGAAGTCATCAAGCAGCCCATTGCATTGTCTAAAATCAGATCTCAGATAAAGGTAAGAAAAAGTAAAATCACTAGTTAATACATGTAGTTATTATATGGCTGTGTCTCACAAGGATTGGGAACTGCCAAATTCACGAATTTGATTGGCTGAAATCGATATTGAAAGCGGTCTAGATTTTCCCATCTAGACCGGCATCTAGACCAGTTACATTTTGCAGAGAAAAAGTTGCAAACTAAAATGCAAAACTATTGACTTTCTTCCAACAATATTTATTTGTTGAGGTGCCAAAAAGCCTGATGAGAAAAAAGTAAGAGGACGAGCAAACTTTGGCAGAATTATTTCAAGTTCAGCTCATCGCCGTTCGCTAGCAAACTGTCAGCTAGTACAAACCAGTTACATTGAACGAATTAATTTTTCTCGTTTGTCATATAATAAACATCTTATTAACCGTGCTTAGTCGGTCTGTATGGGAGAATCTTGACCTCGGTCATGTGTACAGACCTCACTGTATTCGGTCTGTACTCACGACCTTGGTCAAGATTCTCCCATATAGATTTCCAGCTCGGTTAATAAGAGCTAATTACAACTGTACCTTTGACCAAAAAGGATAATCACTGATTTCAATTTTTTGACAACATGAGCATACATCTAATGTATATGATTATATTAATGAGGAGAACCTACTGTGATACTACTGTCAAACTACTGCAAGTATTACGGAGACATGATTGACCATGGCAGTTTTACACACAACTTAAGCAGTTGTGAACTTAAAACCTGAAAAAAATTACCGGTAAGTTGTACATGTGGAAAATGCAATGATCATTCATGTCTTCATATCTTTTGCCGCAGTTCAAATATACGATCTTTCATATATGCAATTGTATTTTTCACCATCTATGGGTACATTAGGAACTCTCAATGTGACCAGCTCCCAGATGGCTTGATAGCTCAGTTGGTAGAGCACTACACTGGTATCGCAAAGGTCATGGGTTGGAATCCTGTTCAGGCCTGAATTTTTTTCAGGCTTTAATTATGAACTCACAATGTGACCAGCTCCCAGTTGGCTTGATAGCTCAGTTGGTGGAGCACTGCACTGGTATTGCAGAGGTCATGGGTTGGAATCCTGTTCAGGCCTGAATTTTTTTCAGGCTTTTATTTCACAACTGCTTAAGTTGTGTATAAAACTGCGATGATCAATCATGTCTTCATATCTTTCTCTGCAGTTCGAATATATGATCTTTCTTATATTCACTTGTTATTCTTCACCAGCTATGGGTATATTATGAACTCACAATGTGACCAACTCCCAGTCCAGTTGGCTTGATAGCTCAGTTGGTAGAGCACTGCACGGGTATCGCAGAGGTCATGGATTTGAATACCGTTCAGGCCTGAAATTTTTTTCAGGCTTTAATTTCACAACTGCGTAAGAGTGAATGCCCATAAAAATCGACCTAAATTGCCTATCAATGGCACAAGTCAAAAAATGGATTTCGCTTGTATTTTGCCCATAGATAGGTCTTAGTAAGAATAGAAACGGACAATAGTTAGTGTCTGCTAATACAGCTTTCTTTGGTAGAAATATGCCAAAAATGATATCACCTCAATTGAGCTCAAAATCTACTTTACGTTTTTGCTGAATTTTCTGAACATTTGATTGCTTTGTGCTCTGCAGAACAGCTACTTGAGAATCTTTCAATGGATTTTATATTCACTTCAGGTCTTCGTGGTATGACTGAGCGAAAAATAAAATAAATCAAAGTTAGTTTTGAGCCCGAAACAAGATCAAGCAGACACGCAAACTTTCAGTGTGTTGCAAGTGAATTATTGCATTAAAACATCGCCATATTTTCTATGCGCTATATAACTTTAAATACCATAAAAACACTTTCTATGGGTTAAATGCACACCCACCTGTTAGGATATCAAAAATATCTCTGGGCAAATGGTTTTAAGTCGCACGTCTTGGTCTGTGTTTCTCATAGATTTTGCCTAAAGTCCGCCATGGCAATGCAAACAATTCTGTGACGCAGATAGTCACTCAAGAATAAATATTTGTTTCCAACAATCCGATGAAAGCAATTTTTGAAACGTTGTGTGGATAAAATAATAGAAAATGTTTTTTTTGTTTAATTTAGTTTAAATATATATATATTTTTCATTTGCATTGCAACTCCCACGCCATCGATATTCCTGATAAAGAACGTGTTTACAGTGCTCCGGGAAATGATTTTAACACTTGTTTATTTCCACAAGTTGGCTCAGGTATTAATTTCACCGATAACTTACAATACAATGGCCGTTTTAGAGATACACGTAACCAATCCTCTATGGCTTACGGCAATTGAATCATTGACAAATAAACTCAAGTGGAAATACCATAAATTCTATAAAGTACTAACTGTGTGACTCGACCTCAGCTCTTCTACCCGTTTAGAAAATTTATAACTACACAATATGCTCAAATTGAATTAGCTGAGGAAGAAATATTGCATTTGCGTTTCAATCATACTGGGACACGTTTGTTAAAAAAAACATCTTTTCTACTTTGGTTGTTTGATCAATCGACACTAATCAAGTGACACTATTGATGCTATTCGCTACCTGTCTGAAATTTACAGATCATAACATTGGTAGACAAATAAAAATTACAGCGGTCGATCTAATCCCGGGGTCCAGCGCCACTGGCCCAGTTTGCTAAAAAAAACATCAATATTTCTGCAGTCTCCTAAAATGGTTCCTCATTAGTAAACGTTGTCAAACTGTTTTTTTTTGAAAATGTTTTTAATGTTCCCTACTAAGCACTGCCTCGAAAAATACAATTAATGAAAAGGTCACCGTACTCAGAAAAGCGATATGATGGACCATTCTTACCCCTGGTTAATGCCTGCACTGGTTCTAATCACGTACGCTATCTTATCAGTTCATGTTACATTTTGCACAAAGCAAAGTTTCAAGCACATGGAACAATGTAATATATAATTTATGAGGAAAAAACACACAATTTTAAACAACATAAACTCAAAACGTTCCTCGAGTGGTTGTTTTTCAGGCCATGATTTTTAGCCATATCATTTTTTTTCCTTACGAAATATTTTGGTCAAAATTTTGACTAAAGAGGATAATCAGGATTACCAAAATTATGCAATTTTAAAACAAGCACTCATTTCACTGTCGATCTTTGCTTGAAGGAAATCTCTTGATGTTATATATTTGCACCACAGGTAGTCCAACCACAAAAATGAGAGTCCGTATTCATGCAGTAGTGCTCAGGCTACGCAACAGTCGGAATATAAGGATTTGTAACAATGTATGGGAAAATGGTTATATTCTCAAGCCTAAAATATACGAAGGAGTAGGAGTAAAAAAGAACCTGCCTTACTTCAGGTGTGTGTTCCCTTGTTGCTGATGAGGTTTATAGGCCCCAAATTGTTATGAATCAGCCTAGAAAACCTCACACGAAACAGGGGAACAAACACCTGAAGTGAACTAGGTTTATTTCTATTCATTCTTGCTTCTTAGTATATTTTAGGCTTAGGAATATAACCATTTTTCCCATACAAATCCTTACATTTCGACTATTGCATAACCTAAGATATAATGTATGGATGTGCAAGCGTGGGAGTCCTGTTTGAGCACTCGCTCATGCGTGCGCGCCAATGACGCAAAAACCAGCATGGTCAGAATGGCTCAAAAAAGTTTACAGCACTTAGATTTTGATGGGCCGTTATAACCACTCTTTAATACTTGATGCTACAATCATGGTTGCATAAACCTGCCCAATCATTGGTGAACACGTTACCATTTTTGTAACACAGTAGGTTACCATAGCAACAGTATGACCTGCTAAAAACACCCATAATTACAACTTTAGAGGCTTATAATTCAAAAATGGTACAGTGAAATTTTTTTATATTATCAACATTTGATAAGCACGATAAGATGCAATTTTTGGCAAAGTTTAACCAACTAGTGACTTAAACGAACAGCAAACATCTATCTTGTTTTGTTCACGGAAGTTGGTCACGGCAGAGCGAAGTTTCATGAAATGTATATAATTTGATCAAGAAATTAGCCACAATAGGTGGAAAATGATTGTTTTAAGACTGAAGAAAAAAATACCTGTCAAGATAATATTATTGAGCATTTCAGTTGTTTGAAAAGAAACATTCGTGTACAGTACATATGAAACTATATGTGCAGTATGTGCGTAACCTGGAAAAGCAATCCATCCAGCATAGTAATTGTTTAAATTACGTGTAATAGTTCACCGAGATACTTGCACTGTTGATGTCTGTTATTTATGGTTTAAACTTGTAAGATTTGTTTAGTTTTAGGTAGCTTCTTTTTGCATTTACTTTTTCCGACTTTTTAGAAGGAGAAAAGACACCAAATGTCGACAAGCCGGACTGGTACAAATAAAAACGTTTAAGGTTACTGTATACCTTCAGGGGTGTCTTGCATGCAAGCGATGTAGCGCGTGCAGTTTAAGTTGTAGATACCTAAACCCCTATATCAAATTAAAGCTTATAGAGCTGGCTATCAAACTATAACAAGAATTTTGAAATAAATTGAATTGTTGAATTTTTCACAACCACTTAAGGTAGCCAAACACAGTTTTCGCCCGCGCTTTTGCTGATGCAATTCAGCGCACGCACAAGGATTGCAAAAAACAAACATGCTGTCAATAGAGCGATCATTTTACTTACTCAACACCCGCAGTATCTGTGTTATTTTTCTCTATAATTGAATGCAGTGTATTGATGGCTTTAGTCTTTTATCACAAAGATATGTTAGAAAAGGTAACGATGCAAAGAACCCAGCAATTCTCAGCTTTTTCTTTGTTACCGAAAGAACCCATTTAATGCAGCGCATGCGTAGTAAGTAACAAAAAATGGGATTGAACGAAAATTTGCACTCGGAAATACACCTATTTCTTGAGAACCACTCATTAGAATTTACGAAATTTGGCAGGAAAATACTTTAGGAATAAGTAACTGGAGTATTGAAAATAATTGAACTTTATCAAAGGAAATTCTAGATATTCCAGTTAACCTTCAGCAAAAGATAATTAAAGATCTCTCTGTTAAATTATTAGCAAAATGGTGTTAACTTGTGAGAATCGTTACAAGCTTGTTGCATGCAAATTATAAAGAAAATCT